GGGTGGCCCGAGGCCCCGGGGTTTCACGCAAAACAAAATACCCTTTATTGGGGGGGGGGGGGGGGGGGGCGATAGGTCAACCTCCGTAAGCATACTCAGTATCATTCAACAGGGAGGGATCCGCGGAGATAATCTGCAAAAACGTGTCATTATACGGGGGGATCCGCAGGAGTCAACCTGCACAAGTATGTGACAACGAACAGGGGGAGATCCGAACGATGGAATAGCCAAACGTGCATCAGTTCCATCACGTCCAGCACCAAAAGGCACCGGGGTGGGTACCCCAAAAAGGAACATGCAGGATCGATCCTCCTGCACGTGTGCTTGGAGGGAAAGAGAACGAAAACACACACACACAAAAAATTCCACCTGTGGTCCTAAACGGAATCCATACCCACACAAAGGGATAAACAAATGAACCTGTTCCCTGGCCGCCAGCCAACGGGCAGCACGGCGGCGAGAACGCACTATTTTGGGAGCGGATTGGACGGAACCGAAACCAGACTCGATTTGGCTGCTGCTGACGGGGAACACTCGTGAAAAACGAGCGTCGGGCCATCTTTCTGTCTTGGCAATGCTCCAGAAACTGACGTGCGATCGAGACCATCCGGTCGCTCCCTGAGTTGTGTGTCAACCAGATCATCTCGAGAAACTGAAGAAAGTATATGATGTTTGTTTTAGGCACACATCTCGCTCACCAGAGACAAGAGCGGCACCGTGACCCAGCTCCCCAATGCGGTGGTGAGCAGGTTAAGACCGGCAGACACGCCTCGCACGGTGGTGGGGGCCTCGGCATAGAAGAACTCTAACGACGTTACCGCCGACAGAATCTCCGACGTCCCGATCAAGAGGTACTGAGGTACCTGCAGTGTCGTGGAAAGGAAAGGAAAAGCACCGGAATGCATTGCTCGTTTAGGAATTGGTTTAAAACACCCCCAAGCGGGGGGAGGGACGTGGAGCAAGAAAAAAAAGGTTCCTCCCTGTGCAACCTTCCTCATGTTTGACCTAGGCTGATACATACGTCAACCTTACCCCGAAAAGAAGAGTAGACTGGCACCACAGTAGATGGTACGCAAACACACAAGGCCAATAACACAGCATGTTGTAATGTGTGTCACAACACCTTCGTCATGCTTGATGACGTTCACTACTGTCTTCTCTGTCCATCATCCCAAATGTTGCCGGTTGCTCGCAGCCTCTCTTCAACGAACGGTCTTGTGTACCTCTCATTCTGAAGAGCTACTGCTTGTACCCGAGGTTGAGCGACACAGAAACAATTGCTCTGTGGCGCAAGTTTCAATCAACCGTCATCTCGGGAAGGGTTCAGGAGTCCCGTTTCTCCAGCTCTAGGCTACCGATCAACAAGCGCTTTCTACACAATGTACGGGGACGGCAAATGCTCATAACTCACATTTTCGTCCAAAACTGCGAATACACCATGCAAAATCCAACAAGGGGAGAAAGCTCATCTGGTATTAGCTTCATGAGAAAGTATGTTGTGCCGATTAAACTACCCATCAGAGAACAACTAGCAAACACTATTTCTTCTGTGTCGTTGGACTGTATTGTACTGTAATACGCGCACCTGCCACATCACGCTCATGGTCGACGCCAACGGGGGGGAGTCGCAGACGATGCAGCTCAGCAACAGCAAGTCGTCCGGCCCGATGTCGGTGCAGCCGGGAACCTGCACGCCGGAGCGAAGGAGGGTAGAAGCAAACGTAGGTATAGAAAAAAAACGCCAAGTGCCTGCGGTGCAATCGGGCCAGAGGCAGTCCGGGGAGGGGTAAGACGAAAAATAGGAGCAAACGAGTGGCACTTCAAGTATTTGGTATCTTTGCCCGTTTAGAAGCAGCGGCAGCGTCCGCAGCACGCACAGCAGTAGGAGCGTAGCAGCAAACGTAGTTAAATAGAAAGAGTATCTGCATGGTTACCCGCTCAGTAGGGCACGCAGTACACACCGCGTTGTAAGCAGCGGCAGGAGTACATAACAGAACCGGCTGGTGCACGCATGAATTGCACCGCACTGCTACGCTTGCTTGAGAGTACAACAGCTTTTGGACAAAGAAAATGGTCCTCGCAGCACAAACCCTGGTCAGCCGCTCTTGGAATGCACTACACCATCAACTCATCACCGCAACTTTTCCCTGCAGCAGCAGCAGCAGCAGCAGCAGTAGAATATGCCACCACAGGGGCTCATAACCACGAACGTAGCAAAAAAAAAAAAAAAGACGAGGCTAGGCCACCAAGCCGACCACGCTTGACGTATGCATACCTGGTGGCAGTAGGCCGGACGGTGCGCCGTTGCCGACGCTCGGTTCCGCGTGTTGAAATACTCCTGGAACTGCTCTGGGTCGTAGTCCCGAGCCCTTGCATCAACCAAGCAAGTAAAATACCATCACGCGGGGCGGGGTGGGACGAGGGGGGAGGGGGGTGTACTCATGTTTTGCGTGCCTTAGTTGGTAGACCATTGAGCACGGAGCGTTGTTCCCACAGGACTGATCACCGATGGCCAATCGTTCCTTCCCACTTTGCCAAAGGTGGATCAAAGGTGATCCCTATCCTATATGTCCTGGGGGGGGAACAACCCGTCCGGCACGACCCAAACAGGACTACTTTCTTCTTGGCCTCTAATGAACAACGGCTTTGTATGTACATCGATGACTCGAGCAACGGCTCTGCTTAGATATGTTGCATTGTGACATATGGACACCAGAAAGCCTTTGTGGTACCGCGCCACCGAGAGGAATCCGAGGTGTGTCTCTAACCGGGTCCTAACCTGGGTGCGCGGTTTGATCGGTCACACAAACAACTCGTTGCCAAATTTTCCAGTCCTATTGTAGTTCCCAGGCCTTTGAGCTCAATCTCCCAGCAGCAACAGCAGCGCAGAGCAACCTCGACACAGCTAAACAAAGGTAAACAGGCTAGTTCATCACCACCACCACCAGCAGGCCAACTCCCTCCGCACAAGCCTCCCCGCCTCCCACCCCACAAGGGCACGGGACACAACATCCCATCCCCGTGAAACACACCCACCAAGAACACGCCACACACCACCTTCCCCCCAAACCTTGTAAATACAGAGAAGTAAAACTACAACTACCCGGTAAATCTCTTGCTCACTTTCGGCACGGGGACAAGACGGCCCCATCCCCGTGGTCGACGTGATTTCGCCGAACGACCTCCACCGCTCCCGCCACCAGCACCGCCGCCCCCGCGAACAGCAAGCCCGAGCCGATCTTCCGGAGCATGGTAGGCTCGCACCCCGTCCGTCGCAGCCAAGGGTACACCACCCCGTCCACGACGGGTATGAGCAGCAACACGGCCAGAGTGTCGAACCTTGGAGTGAGAGTGGAGTGAAGCGGGAATTTTATTACGACGAGGGCGGGCGGTACACACGCACG